ATCTATCTATCTATCTATCTATCTATCTATCTATCTATCTATCTATCCATCCATCCATCCATCCATCCATCCATCCATCCATCCATCCATCCATCCATCCATCCATCCATCTATCTATCTATGGAGGATATATATTTTAATTATGATTATTTGTGCATCAATAACTTCTACAATGTTTGAAGTCGGAGTTTAACGACAGATGAATCTTTGATTTCATCTCCATCAAGTTGTGGAGACTGTGAGTGTGATTGTGTCACCCCTCCTCCTCCTCTTCCTCACTCCTGGCAACAAGCAGACAAAGCGGGCGGGTTCTGGGGGTCTCGGTCCGGCCGCTCAGTCCTTTGATGTGGGCCGGGTTGAAAAGAAGCAGTGAGACCCGAGGAGGAGGAGGAGGAGGAGGAAGGTACTGTCATTTTGCAGGATGCGGACAAACATGTTTGAGGTAAAAGATGCAGCTCCGCAGACATTTTGACTTCTGTTCTTTTCTCCGTCCAGCAGCGGGTCACTGAAGGAAACGGACATTAAGGAGTTAAAGAGCATGAAGGCCTTCAGAGCTGCAGAGCATAGAGCCGGAATAATAAGCACCTCCCGTCCACTTTAGAACGGATTTATTACTTGCTTGAATAAAAATAAAATGTAGGAAATGAAATATATCCAAATACATATTTTATGCAGCTGCTAATTATTAGAAATAAACTTAAGGGAGAGAAGAGACGTCCTGATTGTGTTGCTGCGGACAAAAGATCTTCTTAAATGAAGTTAGTGATGGTCCATGGGCCAGATGAGACCCCCGGCCCAGTGTGACAGTTTCAAATCACCCTGAAGGAAACAGCATTCAGTAAAATATACAAGAAGAATAAAAACAGATTAAAACCGAATACGTTCAAACGCCGCACAAGTAAAATGCGTTTCATTTATTATTATCCAATAATATCATGACTATTTTGTATTTGTTTTAAGCAGCTATTTATCCTGAAACGAATTTATTTCCCATTTAAAACATTTTATTAGCAATTGATTAAAAATAAAAAGAGTTGTCTGCCTGAGGGGCTGTGGAATGCTCCAAATTAAAAGCACATTTGAACACTTGTTCATACTGAGCAGCTTTCCTGTATGTTGAAACAAAGTTAATTATCTCAAATGAAATGTTTTGTCCCGAGCAGCTTCATATATGATGATCACGTGAAGCCACTCCTCTCAAACTGTGCAAACACCCAATAATAAAAGCACGTGCTTTATGGCTGCACAATCATCTTTCCGTCGCAATTAGTTCGTCATATATTCTCATTAGAAGTCTATTAAAACATCAAGTCATTATTTGAGCATCCCCGGGCGGGGAATTAGAAGAAAACTATCTGTGGCCCCCACACGGGTCTCATTTAGATTAATGGAAAAATATGTAAAACATTTCGTTTTAATTTTCCTCCGACGGTGTTTTGCATACATGCAATTTTTTTTTTACTCCTTTCCGCGTGCACGTCCCTCATTATTTATGAAAGTTTAAAAAAAAAAAAAAAAAAAAACCTTCCCGGGCGGTGAAACGGCCGCTCTGCTCTCTAATTGATTCACGTCACAATTTTATGATCTTCTAATCGTGTTAATTGTGATTTAATCTCTCGGGAATGCACCAGATAAATGTGCTTAAATAAAACCATAGGAGCTTTTTTTCTTCTTCTTTTTTACAAGTTCCACATAAAATGTCAGATTTACCCAGCGGAGGAGGAATCTGTTCAGTTTTTAAATGTTACTGCAAAAAAAAACAAAAAAAAAAAAAAGCAAAAACTAAAACAAAGTTTATTGTAAGAAAAATAAAAGCTGATATCCAAAGGTTTCTCAAAGCTGCATCATTTCCTGTTCCTCCTCAGAAAAAGGTCTATTTTTGTCTCTGCTTGATGTCCCAGCTCTGCTGAGAGCTTCCTTCCTGTCTGCAGGGGGTGGGGGGCACCTGTTGCAGCTTGGACTTACTTGTCCCATCAAACTGGTCTCCTTCAGGACTAAAGTGGCTCCGTCATGCTCTGGTGGAGTCACTGTGCTCAGAGCTGAGAGAAGCCACAGAGAATGTGTCTGTTCAACGCACTTCTGCAGCAAAGACACATTCACAGTCTCAAACATAATTATTTAATCATAACATTATTTTAAATATAGGGAACAGTGACTCCAAGTACAACTTCTTTACTTTAAAATCTTTACGTTTGATTTATTCAAAGTTCATTCTTAAATTGCAACAGTCCAACTTTCAAAGTTTAGTCCAAACAGAACTTTATGATATTCAATATGACTGACAACATTAAACAATCATGCAGCTATTGTTGAGTATTCGCAGTCATCACATTCTCCATGTGCTGTTAAATCATTTTCTGCTGTAGTTTAGGTCTATATATTTTTTTTTTTCCATATTTCAGTTTTTTAATGTGTCTTGAGTTTGATTTTGATGTTAACAATCTGACATGGCTTCTGTTTTTGAATTTATTTAGTAGAAAATACAAATATAGGTTTTACCCACTGACCTGAGGGGGTTTGATTATAGTGAATACAAACAAGTGTGTTCACAGAAGAAAAAAGTTATCAGAGACGCACCAGATGCCGAAGAGTCGGCTTACTCTTAAGTTGTTGGGCCGGACTCAGGAGTGGCTTCTGTCTTTTTTTTTTTTTTTGTCTGGCCTGGCACAGACACCAGCGCTGCCCCAGACACAATAGATCATACAGTAAGAGAGAGAGAGGAGTGGGGCAGAGAGGAGGTATGGCGCCTTTCATTACCATGGTCACCAATGGCACTATTAACCATTCAACACCCCCCCAATTATCCTCCCATCCACAGTCAGAGAGACAAAGCCTCGGTCCTGGTCTGCTGGAGCAACATGACCACTAATCTGTCTCATTGGAACATCACACCCACTTCACAGTCTCTCTGCAAGTCAGACGTGGACAAGCGCTCCACAAAGAGCCTCTTTGTGCTTCCATTCGTGACTTCTTTGCTCATCTTGTTAGGAAGTTCTTTTTTTTTCTGCTCCACTGTTGATTAAATAGTTGTGAAGGATGCTGCTGGAAAAACAACAAACAGAATCTGCTGAACTCCGTGGTGCGTCTGAGCTAAAGTTGCTTCATTTCACTGAAGCAAATAAAAGATAATGTTAGATTTACAATATTTGATCTGTATTCTACTTTTTTTTAAGCAAGCTTGTAGTTGAGAGCCCAACTGAGGACCGTCAGCTGAGTCCTAAAATCTGGGCTCGATGCGCAGCAGAGCCATGTGTTTGTTTATCCCCTGGCTGTGGAGACGGGAGAACATGAGCACCACGCTGCAGGACAGGCCGTTCACACTCAACTGTGCGTTTGTACAAATTAAAACAGCAAATCAAATGAAAACATTCAGACATTTTCCAAAAGCCTAAATTCAAGCGATGGTTTCCTCTGCGTCCAGGCGACTGGAGTTCAGTTGAAAGGTTTCTGAGGCACTGGTTTCCAAACGTCGTGTCATTTCTTCAGCACCGTGGCAGAAAGCGTCACGATGTTCTGAGCCTGCTTCAGCGAGGGCATGTCAATCATGCTGCCGCGGAAGGTGAACGCACCCTGAAGAGGTTTGCATTGGGGGTGGGGGGTGGGGTGGAGCAGGAAAAGAGAACGTTAAAAACAATGTAGAAAAAGGGAATTAATTACAAACGTGTTCAGTAAATAAACAGTTGAAGGTTATAGTGAAAGGCGAGCACCTATGTTAGAAGATGAATTGTCACTGTTCACACCGTTGCACAGAAAAAGACACAAAAAGCAAGAAAACACACGCATGAAGTCGTCGGCAGAGGAACGGGGAGAGAAGTCCCGCAGGCGATGCCCTGGCAGGGAGAGAGGTGTGGGCAGATTGTGTATTACCTCAGCAGATAGCCCACAGAGCTCAACACACAGGAGCCAACCATGCACTAAATTAGGGACAATAATATTGTACACTTAATTGGCCCGACTCCCCCTCCCCCGCTCACTGTCCCAAGCCTTCGGAGTCACCCAGGGGTGTACAGTATGTATTCTTTGGAGCTACGGAGGTGTGCGAGAGGAGAGGATGCACAAAGGACCAGGCCGAGCATCAAAGCAGATCCATGTCATCACAGCACAAGTTTCCACGGTCTTCTCACATCTTATTACGCTAACACTCTTCAAGGTATACGACAATTCAGGAGAATTCAAAATATATATATTTTAAACTATAAACAGTGTGAATTTACAATAAAAAAAATTGTTACCTTTCCTTCTTTCTGATGTTGATCAAAAGCAGAAATGAGCTCTCTGGCCCACTGGACCCTCTCTGGACTCGGGGAGAACTCTTCCTGCACAGCCTGGATCTGCCCCGGGTGAATAACCTGCTTACCTGTGCAGACAACACACATTAAACATTGCACTCTACATTAAACAGAAAACTTATACTTTTTTTATTGAATAAACAAAAGAAACACTTTTTAGAAATGTATCACTTGCAATGCGTAGATTTTTGGTCAGAACATACAGAAGTGCATGAAAACACTGGGTGACATGCAACATGCAGTGGAGATACTATTATTAATAATCACAATAACTCAGTTACAATAAATCCATAATTTATCTTTTATCTTTTGTTCTCACAATCAAAACATTCTCCCTGTGCTTTTTCAAGTTTCTTACATTTTATTTTTCAAAACTTAGATTTAAATTTCTCGTCCAACTTTGACCTGTAACTAGAATCTTTTTAATAAATGTACAGCAGACTGTATGATAAAGATGACAAGAGGATAAAATGTTGTAAAAATGTCGAGTTTATGCTGCTAATTAAATATTTCAATTTTTTTAGGAAAAAAAGACAGAAAAAGCAGCACATCATCTTGACTTACAAGTCTGTGCAAAACGGTGTCTATTAGAATGGCACATATTGAAGCTTAGCTCAGAAATTAAACTTAAAATATAGTCATAATTTAAATAAAACAAAAAAAAAACTATTTTGAGCAAATGTATAAGTATTATAAATAACAGTTGTTCCTAAAAATGTCTACTTCAGACCCATAAAATAATAATACAAGGGCATTTAACCACAGCTGCCACCACCTAAAACTTTACTCATAACTCTGTCTTTTAAGAGCTATGGCAATGTTTACAGCTTTATACTTATTTTAACCATGAATTAAATCAGATTTAATTATTGGTAACCGTTAAGGTCAAAATTAGCCACTTACTAATCATTTCTAAATTTAATTTGATTCCTGGAGACTGTCTGAAGACCCCACACTGTTCCATGACCCTCAGTGGGGTCTTAACCCCAACATTACCAACCACTCTTATATAAAATAGAATAAGGGATAAAGTCTTGAGATTATTCCACCCCCAACCCCAAATTATATATATTTTTTCTTTACTTTTTGCAGACTTGGAAAAGACTAGGAGCAAATTCCATACTTTCCCAGACATTTTAAGGCCATACAGGAACTTTGTCTTTATTATTTCTGCCACAATCATCTAAACTGGCTGTGAGCATTATGAGGGTCCATCTGATATTATTTGACTGTAATTTGAGTTTTTGTCTGTGATTTCTATCAGCCCTTCACTAAACACACGGATAACTGTGATGAGGAGAAATCTTTGATGCATAGTGGAGCCCCACTTCCATCTTGCTGGATGTAGACTGGTTTGATAAACCCTCACTTCATCAGCAAAAACAGAAGCCTAACGAGAAGTTATGACTCTAACCCTCTCAATGAACGCTGCAGACATAATCCCATGTACATTTGCAGATCAAACTTGTAGTGATAAAGTTAAGGCTATGAAACGTCTAGCGCAAACATCAGCTCAGCGGCAGCCAGCGGGAAACTCGACACTTTAGGGCTTAGCTCTGTCGCCAGCAACAAATCCTTCAAGGTGGCCAAGCGGGCGGGCTACAAAATAGCTCAAGAAAGGGGGGGAGAAGAATAAGGGGAGGAGAGAACCCCACTCCCTTCATCCAAGCTCTGTGCTCACCCTAGTTAACCTCAGAAAACACATACACAGCGGTCACGCAGTCAACACGCAGTGATTAAAAGCTTGGGCAATTACTCACAAGCAAGCATCACTCATTAACTGCTAGTTTATTTATTATAATCATTTGGAAGGATTTTTGAAATGCAACTGTGTGCAAAATAAAAGTACCATACAGTGTGAGCAATTGTGTTTTTTTTTGTCACTTGGACTGCAATATAGATAAAATATATCATCTGAATATGTTGGAAGACAGTACTTGCTTGTTTACAGTAAAACTCGGCCTGCGTGTTGCTTTCTGATGTATTCCTTACTCTGCCACCTGTTTTACATCTCGTCAGAAAACGGGACACTGTTTCCATGCTGAAGCTGACAGGTCCGTATTGTAAGATGGTGCCAGTTAATGTCACTGTGACACTGTGTGCACGAGGGGGTGTTTAGGACAAGGACAACAAGAAAATGTTGGTTTAAAGGAGCAGGCTGGGTGACTCAGGTGCCCTCAGTTACAATCCATTGGCTCTCCTGAAATACATCGTTTGTGCCTTGCAGCCAATCCCAGGCTGCCGTGTGTTGCTGGCATCTTATTGGAGGAGAGCTATTTAGCAAAATGCTCTCAGGCGAATGATGGACAGGGTCCTGGGGGTGGAAGTGAAATGTGGTCCCTGAGAGCAGAGAATTTCAGGAGAATTGAAAAAATTTACTAGCGACTGATAACCAATAAACATGTAAAGTAAATATACCACATTTATTACAGTTTCATCTAACATTCTGCATTTGACATCCACCAAGGTGTCACAGATTTATGCTCAGCCGTACAGAGCACCAGCGTGTTCTGTGCTAATGGGTGCTGTACCCAGCTTAGGCTGTGCCAAGGTCAATTACTGTACAGGTAGAGCTTTTGGCTGCACTGTATTATTGCTTAAGCACACATGGGCCAGTAATAGCTACTAACCAAGATTATACAGAGTGCCTACAGCTGGTGAGGTGCTAATCCAGTGCTCTCAATGGGTCTGGTTAACATCAGAGCTGAGCATTTATTTCATTAACCAGCTGTTGCCCTCAGCTTCTACCCCCATATTTAATTTTCCAAAAGAGGCAAACTGCAAATTATTCAGACTCCAGCAATTTTAAAATAATATTTGTTGTAATTTCAGGAATTAACGTGTCAACAGCTGCAGGATGAGAAATATAAAAGATAAAATTGGAACATAAACAGTACAATAACGCACACGTGACATGCGACTGCAGCAGCAGAGTGGAAGTGTCCAACAAGGTCTTCTGAGTGAGTTTCACTGTGAAACAGCACAAACCTCAACCTACACCATGATATAACATAATGTGCAGGCATTGTGCGCGACTCAGCAAGCGCCACATGAAGTGCACGTCAAGGGATCAGTGTCTCCTCCAGCTTTTCTCCTCTCCTGTGCAACTGATGCATTATACTGTTGTGTTAAAATACTGACACATTGACAGGAAAAAAATAAATACTTTGCTGCGAAATTCAATTCTTTATTTTTGAGGAAAGGTCATGAACAACTAGTATCTTACCTGTTACAGATTGCTCGTTGAATAGTTTCAGTGTGGAGAAACAGAGTTCAACTCTAACTAGATTTAAAAACTAATGGCTCGGCTGAGTGGGACAAAGACTAGGGTGGTTGTTTGCTGTCTTAAGACAACTTAATAAAAAAGAACACTATTTTATAAACTTTTATATCAGTCAATTTGACTATTTCAGTACGTTATTCTTGCAGGAAGTGTCCCAGGCTGCACCAGAAGTGCTACAATTAGCTGCTAGCTGAGCTTGCAAACAACCATAAAATGATATGTAAATAACTGAGAGACAAAACTGACACAATGTAAAGGTTTATAAACAATGTCTGCATGAACTGTAATGAAACATAGAGAATGAAGCTGTTTTAGAACAACATCACACTTTGGTCTTGGCCCCTCTTGTACTGTTAGCTTCTGTTGTCTTATTCTGGTCATTGTTAACATGTTATTTCATTTCAAATGGTTGTCTACAACAGGTAAGATGTTATTATTTCACAACCATCCAACAGAGTCTCACTCTAAAATATCTACACCACTGCTTTAGAGGGAAATAAGTTTAAACTCATGATAAAATAAAAAAGCAACAGAAAATATATTGTAAAGAGAAAAGGAAGGACAAAAACAAACTCCCACAGCAGTTGGATTTCTTCTTGATGTTTGTTGAACACAGGACAATGATACAAAGAACATGCACTGAACGTGCATGCACAGAAGTGTGCATTCATAGGCATACGACCACTGATGATGGAAATGGACATTTACATCTACATTACAGAAAGCAAAGCGTACACATTAAATACAAAGGCCAATATTTACAGTTTTTGAGTTTTCACACTACATTTTATAGTATTAATACACGTTGTACTTTCTAAAAGCAACAAATGTGAAAACTACACAGCAGAACAGATTGAACATTGTTTGTTGATAAAAGTTTTATTTTTATGAAAAATATGCAGCAATGTGAAGCAAATGTTTTCAAAGTCTCATGACTAAAGTCAAATGCAGAGGAAATGTACCTGTGAAGCCCATGAGAGCACCTTCTCTGGCCTGCTGCCTCAGTCCCTCCACGTCTTTATAGTCGATGTAAACCAGGTCGACAGCCTGAAGCCCAAAGGCTTTGGTGGTCACAACTACCTTCTGCCTTGCATAGAGAAGCTCCCTGGCATCTTTAGTCCGTGTGGCACCTAAAGTTGACCAGTGTGCAAAGAAGGCAGTGGAGAAAAAAGATGATAAACTAAATATACAGTGATTTGAAAAAGTGTCCTTACACACTGAACTTGTATCAAACTTCTAAGTATTTTATTGGGATTTAAGGTGATGGACCAACACAAAGTAGTACATAATTGTGGAGTTAAAGGCAAATGATACATAACTTAAAATATATTTCTCAAATCTAAAAAAGTTAAATCTGGTCCTCTGGACATTCAAAAAAAACCCCAAAACAAAGCTTTTTTTTTTTTTTTTTTTTTTTTTTTGAATGTCCAGAGGACCAGATTTAACTTTTTTAGATTTTTCTACCTGGATTATTGAGCATGCATCAGGATATTTCTCAAATAAAGATCTGAAATCTTGAGTTCATTTATATCCAGCCTCTTAACTCTGATACCCCCCCCCCCCCAACTAAAACCCAGTGAAGCCATTTGGCTTCAAAGGTCACAAAATTAACAATTAGAGCCCAAATGTGTCTAATTTAATCTCAGTTTAAAAAGACGTTTTGTGAAGGAATCAGAGGTTTGTTACAGGAAATTAGTGATTAACAGCATCATGAAGACCAAGGCACACACAAACAAATCTCAAGGATAAAGTTTAGATGTTTAAAGCAGCATTAGGTTATAAAAAAATCACAAGATAAAATAAGATAAAACAGAACTTTATTGATCCTGCAGGAAACTGTTGTTAAGCAGATAACAACAATTATCTAATTACTTAATTGTTGTTAAGCAGGTAAGTTTAGTTCTAATATGCAACACATTTATACTAATATTAAAAAAACACACAAAATGTAAATGAGATGTTAAACTAGTTGAGTTTCGTTAACTGGCAACTCTTCACTTTTAGAGAAAAACAATGAGTAAACAACCCAACACTTAAAAAATGGTCATTATTTATTGTATCTCACCAACTCAGTGAGTCTGGTGTTCTAATACAAACATCACTCACATTTCATATGTTTTTTGGACCAGGACATGTCATTTTGCACCATCACACACCCACTAAATATTTTTGACCCCCTCCCCCCTCCCCCCAGCATTTTCAACTGTTTTCTATTGTTTACTCATTTGTTTAAAATAAAAAAAGTACAAGTGAGATCTTAAACTGAATCTGCATTTACAGACAAAAAATATTAACTTTCACATAGAGATGCATGATATTATTGGCATGGTATCGGCCAATATTAGTGGTAAAGTTAAATACTGGCCATTGGCCATTTCATAATAATTACTCACCAATATAAAATGCGTTGTTTACATATATACATACACATATATACATACACACACACACACACACACACATATATATATATATATACATATATA